TTATTTTAGCTCTGGAGTCACAACTTGTCAGTCAGTTCTGTGAAGATGAAAACGGTGCCTTAATCTACAGTCATGTCACAAATGGACACAGGAATGGCAATGGGAATGGCTTTGGGCTAAATGGAAATCATGGACATGGTAATGGTAATAATAATGGTTTTACTTACGGAAACAATGGGCACAACAATCACTTTGAGGAGGAAGATAACTATGACAAACACATCAACATCAGAGGCCGAGGGGACACTTTCGCTCTGCCCATCAGTGCAGATCCTCTACCAATTCAGGTAACTACTATAATTCCATCCAAAATTGACTCTTGTGAGCTTTAAACTATCTTATAATGCTGTTATCAGAAACATCAAAAACATACCTGGACTTGTGTTTAATTCTTTCACACATGTATGGATATCCCTTTATTAATAGTGTGTCTACATCTCCAAAGCTCAAAATGCTCTGTTCCACCTTAAGACGCCGTGAAGCAGTGGTTTTCAAGTTAACAGCTCAGATCAGTGGAGACTGGAAATTCTGGAGTTGAAATTTTCCGAATGTTCCTAGTGATGGTGTATGGAGCACTTCTTATACCTCCACATGATATCACAAGGTGGAACAGAAGGTGTTTGAGAGAAAACTAACCTAAACTAGAACCTAAATATGGAATATGTGAAGGAACAAACTCCAGGGATGTTTTTGATGAGTAAACAACACTATATCTAATATATAATATATAATATATAATACATATTAAATAACGTAGAACAGAAAATAATGTAATATGAGCAAGTTAAATGCAGTCACATCTCTAATCTTATGTTTATTTCAGGTGGAAGAGGATGATGAAGGTGAGGACTTGGATTTAGCCCAAGTACAGGGAATTAACACATTGGCTGTAGTGTCTAAGACTCTAACACCTGTTAAAGAAATTGTAAAAACCAGTGACGTTTCATCATCATCATCGTCTTCATCAATAATAATCGCCACACCTTCAATATCGTCCTCATCAATAAAAAAAGCCACTCCTTTATCTTCCACCTCTTCATCAGAGACATCACTGTCAACACAAACATCTTCAAAGTTACCTGGACTGAAGTCTAAGTTAGAGTCTGGTTTGAATGAAGTTGTGGTTCAAGGTAAATATCTCTTGTTTACCCAAGACCCATTACATTGACATTTGTGAGCTTTAAATCGTGTTATAATGTTGTTACCTCCTCCTTCTTACATTGTTGATAACCTGAAATTAATCTACAAAATTGTCATTATATTTCTCCAGAGACCACTGTCGTTGACCCTCGTTGTCACCTGACCCTGGAACAAGGCAGCTGCAGAAACTACACAATTCGTTGGTATTATGACAAACAGGCCAATTCTTGCGCACAGTTTTGGTATGGTGGTTGTGGTGGAAATGATAATCGCTTTGATAAAGAAGAGGAATGCAAGAAAACATGTGTTCTAAGCAGAATAGGTATTGTCAAGTAATCATACAAAACAACATATTGCATTTAAAACTAACTAACAGTCTCAATGTTTATTCCAGGTTGAAAAAAGGAAGACACAAAGACAAGACTAACTGTTATGACTGTTAAATAATTTAAGTGTAATGCTCTCTGTGGGACTTCAGAAACAGAATGTGCTTGTGTTTTTTACATGTTTTTCTAATAAACTGAAGACCATTTTACACTGCCACATAAGCCTAATGTAAAATAATGTACTTTCTTTTAATCCTATGAACAAATTACCGGTATTTTTACAGTTATGTTAAACTGTAAATAATTGTAATTTCAGATAAAGCTCTGACATTAAAATGGGACTACTGCTCCTTTGGCACTGATTTGGGTTTTGTAATTTGACTGAAAGAAATGTTTTTATAAATAAAATAAAATAACGACTTTCTTGTCACACTGTATTTTCTTTCAAACTCATACTTTAAACACAATCATACAACCTTAATGAATTAATGAATATGTTTCTGAATTTAGTAGAATGAGCGGCTGATTATATTAAAAAAAAGTCACACGGAAGTAATTTGTCCATCTTGCTTGCCGTCTGTTTCCATGGTGATTTGTGACGCTAGGATAGCTTTGGTGGATTAGCCCGTATAGTTCTATGGGCAGCATCTTCTATGTTTATTTTGCGGTTTATCTTTTAAATTAAACGAATATCAAAAGCCTACAATAATGTCGTCGGTCCTCGATGCTCTTTGGGAGGACAGGGATGTTAGATTTGACATAACAGCGCAGTGAGTAAAAACATGAGCTGGCGTTATATTTTCTGTCGCATAAGCTAATAGCTAATCATAGATAGCTGCTCATTTAGTTAACCTCATAGAAATCAGCAAAGATACTGGTAACGTTAACACAAATACACAGAGATAGGCACTATTTTATTACTATTTGTAAAATGCATCGTTTGTAGCGTTGTGTGCCATATGGCTGTACATATATGTACTGTATTAAACATTATAAACGTTTAATGTTTTATAGGCAAATGAAGACTCGCCCTGGGGAGGTGATGATAGATTGCCTGGACTCAATAGAAGACACCAAAGGGAACAATGGGGATCGAGGTACATTAGTGACACAATTATGATGTATTTATCTTTTCCTTGTTAACTCAGATGAGACATTTTTAATGCAGGACGATTATTAGTGACAAACCTGAGAATTATCTGGCATTCCCTGGCACTACCAAGAGTCAATTTATGTATGTAGTACTTCACTATTTACCATCTCTTTACCTTGTTACCAATGATTTCAGCAGCATGTTCTGATATTTTGCAGCTGTGGGTTACAACTCCATCATAAACATTACAACACGGACAGCAAATTCTGTGAGCCCATTATTTAACTTTTAAGCTGTGCTTTGTATGTTTTGCATTATTCTAATCACAAACTATTTTTACTAGAAATTGAGAGGTCAAACTGAAGCACTTTACATTTTGACAAAGTCAAACAACACAAGATTTGAGTTCATATTTACAAATGTGGTACCAGGAAGTCCACGTCTCTTCACTTCTGTCATCGCAGTGCACAGGTAAAACAGGACAGAGCTAAAGATAAATAACCGTGAAGTCACTCCAAAAATGTAAATACATGTTTTTTTCAGAGCATATGAGACATCTAAAATGTACAGAGACTTGAAATTGCGAGCTGCTCTTATTCAAAACAAGCAGTTAAGACTCCTGCCTCGTGAGCAAGTGTATGACAAAATCAATGGTGTATGGAATCTGTCCTGTGACCAGGTAATGTACATATAAAATTATACAATTAACTTCAACAGGAATGGAAGAGTAACTATTTATTTTAATTTTACCAGAAAATATAGTACAATTATTGATAAACATTTGTTCTTCTTTTTTAGGGAAATCTTGGGACATTTTTTATCACCAATGTTCGTATTGTCTGGCATGCAAACATGAATGAAAGTTTCAATGTCAGCATCCCTTATCTTCAGATTGTAAGATAGTTATCAAATGAACTGACTAACTTAACTACCTCTACACAAAAATTAAAATTTTTTCTCTCTTTTTAGTGGTCAATCAGAATAAGAGACTCAAAGTTTGGTTTGGCCCTGGTAATTGAGAGTTCAAGACAGGTAAGTCACTCAACATTACCACATATATAGCATTTCATTTTCATTGGTGCCTTTTATTAATCACCACTAATCAAACTTTAGAGTGGAGGCTATGTGCTGGGTTTTAAAATAGATCCAGTTGAGAAGCTTCAAGATGCTTTAAAAGAAATAAATTCACTGCATAAGGTTTTTTCTGCAAACCCCATCTTTGGAGTAGACTATGAAATGGAAGAAAAGGTACAATTAAGATTTTTAAATATTATTTTGTTGTATCATCAGCGCATAGTGTTTTCATGACACTGATAAATATAAATATTACAGCCACAACCGTTGGAAAGGCTGACGGTGGAACAGCCTCCTGACGATGTGGAGATTGAGCCTGATGAACAGACTGATGCTTTCGCTGTAAGTCTCAGAAAGTGTGGGGATAAATTGAGGCTGGATTTGTATTTATAATGTTATGTTAAAAGTTGTTTATCTTTTATTTCACAGGCTTACTTTGCAGACAGCAACAAGGTATTTTATATTCTTTACTTCTTTACTTTTTAAAAATACAGTTCATTTAGTGTTGTTTTTATTTTGTTTGGTTTCCTTAGCAGCAGGACCGTGAGCCTGTGTTTTCAGAGGATCTGGGACTCGCCATTGAAAAGCTGAGAGATGGATTTACATTACAGGGACTTTGGGAAGTCATGGGCTAAAATTATACATCTGTAGTGAGTGTGTTGACAGAATGTAAGACTTTATTTATAGAGTATTTTCCTTGTCAGTAATGTATTTTCAGCCAACTGTAGCCTATTGTACATTTTATATAGTGTATATATGTATATAGTTTTTAGTTAAGTAAAAATATGTACTTTCAACTTTCTTACATTTCAGTTATATTGGGTACATAACCATTTGAAAATGTGTGTGCTCACTGAGAGTACTGTATTATGTCATAAACAGGAAGTTTGTATGTGAGGTCATTACTATCAGATGACTGATACAATACAAAACGAAAAAACAACAAACATTTGAAAAGGTGTACACTATTAATAAACTTTATCATTTGGAATTTAATCACTAAAATGTGTCTCAATTTCCACATTATACTGTAATTTATAGGGACAGGACATATACTATATTGAATGAGAAAGACAACGTGTATATATATATATATATTTTCAGTCATAGATTAGACATGGGGTATTCTGGGCTACACACTGTTGTTCTTGATTACTACGGAGACAAGTCTTCACAGTTGTTTTTGCTCCATGACAGCTGTGTGGGCTCTCCAACTTGGCCAACGTGAATTCTTTTTGAGTGGAGTTGTTGACTATATTTAGAAGGGGCAAGGTTATATTGAAGTGGCTGCGGACCTGTCTACTCTATAGTTCTGTGTTCACCAGTTGGTTCAGTCGTCTCCCCTTGCCTATTTTTGAATATCCAGGATGGACCCCCAGAGTTTGAAGGAAGATCTACGCCTTTTTCAGAGTACATTGCTTCAAGATGGACTAAAGGAGCTTCTAAATGAGAACAAATTAGTAGACTGTGTGCTGAAGATTGGTGACAGGAGCATCCCCTGTCATCGGTTGATCCTGTCGGCATGTAGTCCTTATTTCCGTGAACTTTACTTTTCAGAGGATGGAGAGGAGTCACAAGAAAAGGAAGTTGTTCTGGAAAATCTGGATCCCAATATTATGGAGATAATTGTAAACTACATGTACTCAGCCGAGATTGACATCAACGACAACAATGTCCAAGATATTTTGGTGGTCGCAAATCGCTTTCAGATCCCCTCTGTGTTCACAGTGTGTGTTAACTACCTTCAGAAACAGCTGTCACAGAGGAACTGTCTGGCTGTGTACAGACTAGGCTTGATGATTAACTGCCCCAGACTGGCAATAGCTGCTAGAGATTACATTGCTGATCGATTTGAGCAGATGTCAAAAGAGGCAGAATTCCTTGATCTTGCCCCACATGAATTGTTTGCTATAATCGGAACAGATGCTTTAAACGTAGAAAAAGAAGAAGTTGTTTATGAAGTGTTGCTAAAATGGGTTAGGAAAGACAAAGCAAATCGTGCCAAAAGCCTGAGTGAGGCTTTTGACTGCATCAGATTCAGGTTGCTTCCGGAAAAGTTCTTCAAAGAAAAAGTGGAGAAGGAAGAACTGTTTAAGGGTGATGCTGAAGTACAAAAAAAAATCAAAGCAATTAAAGAAGCATTTGGGGGTAAACTTCCAGAAATTAAGAAGGGACAAGATGAAGGTGATGAAGAGGGAGGGAAGCTGCCTGGGTATCTGAATGATAGCCGACGTTATGGCATGTTTGCAAAAGACATGCTTCTGATGGTCAGTGACACAGCAGCTGTAGCCTACGATGGGCAGGAGAATGAGTGCTTTCTGGTAGCTATGTCTGAGCAGGTCCCACGAAACCATGTCAGCCTGGTCACAAAGAAGGGCAAGTTGTATATCGTAGGAGGGCTTTTCGTGGATGAGGATGAATCAGAGAATCCACTGCAGTGCTACTTCTACCAGGTATTCACAATTTGTCCCTTTGACTATTTCTGTATGATGCAAATTTTACATTGATCTTAACCTGTAGCTCTAAAAATGTGTTAAATAATGTTAAATTATTGCTCTTTGGAATGTTAGAATTTTGTGTTTCAATGTATGTCTCACAAAATTTGAAGCACATAACATAAATATCAAGTGTGGAAAGTGCCATCTAGTTTCTATTTTATTGTTTTGATTTATTTTCCATCTTTATGCTTTGAAAGAACTACCTCTTTCTTTTTGCAACATATCTCAATAACAGATAGGGAAACACAAAATATGGTTTAATGGAGCTTACTAAACATTCTATCGAGGAACTATCAGGACAGTGTTTATCAAATTACATTTCTATTATTATAATATTTAACGTACTTCATTTCAGCTGGACAGTCTTGGTTGCCAGTGGGTTGCTTTACCGCCCATGCCTTCCCCAAGATGTCTCTTCGCTCTGGGAGATGTGGACAATCTGATTTTTGCTGTGGCTGGTAAAGATTTACAGACAGATGAGTCACATGATACAGTCATGTGTTATGATACTGAGTAAGTTTAGTGAATATGTTTAAGAAATATATTTTTGTATTTTTGGAAGGCTTAAACTTATTCTGTTCCCCTCAATCCTTCAGAAAAATGAAGTGGAGTGAATCGAAGAAATTACCCTTGAAGATCCATGGCCACTGTGTTGTTTCTGAGAATGGGTTGGTTTACTGTTTGGGAGGAAAAACAGATGAAAAGTAAACTAATATTTAACCAAGCAAAATACCATATGTGTTTTACAATTTAAAGCAACTCAAACTGTATTTTCCAAATTTCAGTAAAACAATCAACAAGATGTTCGCTTACAACCACAAGAAGGCAGAGTGGAAGGAGTTGGCTGCTATGAAAACTCCTAGATCAATGTTTGGAGCAGTTGTCCATAAAGGAAAGATAATCGTGGCTGGAGGGGTAAATGAAGACGGGCTTACATCTGCATGTGAAGCCTACGATTTTGGAACTAATAAGTACGTGCATAACATTAAACTGTTCTTAATGCTTTATTCAGTGCTCTTAACCTACTGATTTGATGTAGGTGGTCGGCCTTCCTAGACTTCCCCCAGGAGAGGAGCTCAGTCAACCTGGTGAGCTGTGGGGGGCAGTTATATGCTGTAGGAGGCTTCGCGATGGTGATGGATGAAAACAAAGAGTGCACTGCCAATGAGATGGTTGATATTTGGCAGTAAGTGTTGATTTACAGCTACAATTTCTTATTTCTTTATGCAGTATAACAAACATTCAGTTTTACTCTAGGTATGAAGAGGACAAGAATCAGTGGACTGGTCTAATCAAAGAGATGCGTTATGCATCTGGAGCGTCTTGTGTGTCTCTGCGTTTGAATCCAGCCAAAATGCCCAAGATGTAAACAGAAGAAAAGATATCATTTGTACAGCATAAAAGTTTTATCCAGAGTGCATTTTCAGAAACACAAAATAAGTGTTCAGTTGTTTCATACTTAAAAAAAAATATTAAGATAGATGAATAAAATCATTTATAAAAACTTTAAAAATATATATTACACATGTTCACATAATTTCATTTGACAGAAATAAGGTCTTTGGTGAAAAATATAGAGCACTTTAATCACTTTAACACTATAGTCAGTTTGGCATGACTTTCCAAACTAGATGTAACATTCTAGAAATATGTTCATTATAAAGAACATTCCCTAAATATTTTTTTCTTTAAGTAATCCTTCCAAGCATCCGGTGTTGACAGTTCCATAGAGTTCCATTCAAAGTGAGGAATCTACAACACAAAAATAGAAGTGTAAAATGTCTATGTTGTGGTATGGCAATGCAAAATTATTTTTATGCTACTGTCATTGTCTCACCTGAATAACACAATATCCCAAAATCTCAAGGTGCCTTTTTCTCATCAATGTTTCCCCTTTAATGTTACGACAGTTTTTACAAAATGCCTTTGAGTCGAGAAAATCCACAGCAACTCTAGGACACAAAGAACATATTAATAGGTCCTATATTACACAAAGTTGACTCTTTAAGCCATGTTATAATGCTTTTACCTCATCAAAAACATACCCGGAATTGTGTTTGTTTTCACATGTTTTGATGATATGATGTCATGAAACTTTAGTTAACTGTTACCTTTTACCATTGCCAATTCCTGGTCTGAAATCAGCCATATGATTCTAATGAAGGTGTATAGAGTTTAAAAACACAGTGGACCACTTCCTATATTACCACATAACATTAGTGTTTCAGTTTGACAAAACAACTTTGCCTAAATATGCAGGGTTTGTTTGTTAAACATGTGTGAATGAAGCAAAACACAATACTCCAGGTATGTTTTAGATGAGAAAAAACAACATGAAAACAGATCAGAAAATAGCATAATATGGGTCTTTTTACACACACACAAATTCTTCTGAAAGTCAAAATGTTTTACCTTTGAGCACCAGGGGGCAGCTCGTCCCTCATATTGGAGTTGGTCCCCCACTGAACCTGCCCAGTGTTGGGAATAGGAAGTGCACTTGACTCAACATAAGGCAATGGCTTAAGATCCTTGTCCAGTATGCACTCAAAATCTACAGACAAAATGGTGTTTGACTTAGAATATTGTTTAAGTGTACATAAGGTATACATTCACAATACACCATCAAACTTAACCTTTATGTAACTTACCAACAGTGTAGAAATAAGGAGTGAGCACAGCTATTCTGACATAGTTAATTCCACCAAGGACTTCTCCCAGCATTTTGTGAATCTGCTGCTGTAGAGGGTTGATGGACCCAGTGCCTAGAAAACAATGCATTTGTTGATGAAACATTTTAAAACACTACTGAATGATGGGGAATCCGTGTATCACTCGTTCAGTTGTTCTTCAAAATAAAACCAAAAGTAAGAAAATGAAAAAACAACTATTTTCTTCATTATTTCTCTCCAAAACCAAAATAAAAAAAACAGATAACGATTTGTTTTTTCAGTTTTCGATTTTGTGTTTGAATGAATAATGGAAAAAATGGATAACGATTGTTTCCTGTCTCCGACACTCCTGGTTCAGTCCTGGTTTAGTCCTGGTTTAGGATTGAGACTGGGACCGGACCAGGACCAGGACTGAAACTGGGACCAGGATCAGGACTGAGACCGGGACCAGAATCAGGACTGAAACCAGGACCGAGACCAGGACTGCAACTGGTTTAGACTTGGTTTAGACCTGGTTTAGTCCCGGTTTAGTCCATATGCAGTACAAAAGCCTGGCATTGCAGTTTAAGTCACGGAAACGAGAAACAGCCATTATCTGTGTACGAATGAACGAATGATACACGGATTATGGGTGTTATTTTAAGGCTATCAACAAAAATAAACAAATCCTAATCTTACCTTTTTTCTGAAAATGTTGACAGTAACGCTCATGAAACCAAGGCACCTGATACTCCGGACACTCCAGGCACACTGCTCTATTCAGCTCCATCAAACGCAGTCGAACGCGCATGTTGAGAGCATCAGTAAGGGCTGCAGAAACATGCAACATGTAATACATCTGTTTCAAATAAAACACCAAATGAATATTGATACAAATATAACACTTACTGTCTAATTGGGAATCAAGTTTTCCCAAAAATTCAATACTAAAAATTTCTTTGATAAGTTCCTCAGGAAAACAGTCAGCCACTGCCAAGGAGTACGCCAGAAGAACTAGCAGATGTGGGTCAAATGAAGCTGTACCATTTAATTATATTGTTAGGTTAATCCTGTAGTGAATGGTGTATTCATTTTATATATTTATAAATATATACATTTTATAATATATTTCTTTACTTACTGATATGTGGAGTAAAGTGCTGAATACAGGCCTCATACATTTCATCTGTTTTGACAGTATCATAATTCAGGACAGAAAATGGAAGCAGGGTAGCATAGGTTGCAGAGTAGTGAAACTTAAAAAAAAATAAGACAGATTGGGTATTTCCTCTTTGCATTCACAACATTTTTCTTTACATTTGCTCACCTTATCAATATCTTTAATGACAACATCAGCAATGCGTTCCATCAGTGGAGGGCTGAGATGGTTTGTTCTGGTCAGAAACAGGGTGAGCTCTGGCACATTTGTCCATTTTATTTGATCTATCATTCTCTTCAGTGTCACCATTGTCTCCTCAAGCAACATCTGCTCAAACCACTCCCCTGAAACATACTTGAGCTCGTCCAGCAGCAGGTCAAGTCTCTCAGCTGTCTTGAGTCTCTCTTGGCCGGACCGGTTCAGGGCTTGCAGGAGGCGGACAAACTTACTAGGAGTGTTATGGCGATAGGATGCATCGTTACGAACCCACTTGGCAACAGCGTGGGCGATAGTGTTGAGGTCGCTGAGGTTGCACTGAGGGACCACAGCCTCTATTCGAGCAATAAGGCTCTCATCCACACGAGGAGAAGGCAACAATGACAGCACACGTGTGAGCATGGTCACTTCATAAGGATATACACTGACCTGTAAGAAGCTGAGTAGAGAACAAAAATCAGATATTAAAGGTCCTTTATTATACCATATTCTGGTCACTCTTATGATGTTGATTCCTCATCAAAAATACACCTGGAGTTTGTTGTTCATTCACACATGTTTAACACACAAACCCTGCATATTTTGGTTCAGTTATTCTCTCAGACGAAAAAAACAAAACTCTATGGCAGGTGGTAATGAAGGAAGAGCTCACGTGTTTTAAATTCCATACATATTCACTACAATCATTTGGATGATTTCAACCCTGGATTTGCCAATCTCTATGGAACTAAAGGTAAAAGATTGTTGTTGAAAACTACCGCTTCATGGCATCATAAGGTGGAACAGACCATTTTGAGCTTTGGAGACGCAGGCAGACAAATAAACTAGGATTACTCAAACGTGTGAATGAAACAAAACACAACTTCAGGTATGTTTCTGAGGAGGTATCAGCATTATAACATGGCTTAAAGCTCAAAAGAATCAATTTTGTGTAATATAGGACTTTTAAAGTTGATCATAATGTTTGATATAATCCAAAGACTCACTTGGTCAAAATCATCCTTAGTTTTGTATACAGTTCAGGGTTTTGATACTGTAAAAGATAGAGTGCTTGTGTGATTCTGGCCACTTCAACTGGCCTGTAGACATCAAGGTTTCTTTGTATTACTGCAGCAATTCTGAAATATATGTGTGTTTTTTTTTTTTTATAATTACATTGTTATGCAAAAGACATTTGCATGCAGTTGAAATATAAACTTACTTGTTCAGGAGGCTGAGGTTTCTGCTCTGAATCTCTTCTAATCCTTCAGCAATAGCCAGTGCTTGTTGTGCATTAAACTCATCTGCCAATAAGAGAGCAGTATTTTCCAACCTAAAAACAGGAGGAGATTTGTTTTTTTAAGAAAGTGTCAAGTATATGTGAGGAGAAATAACTTCACTAACCCTTCTCTTATCTCTGGACTGGCTAAAGGAGCCAAAGCAACGAACAGCTTGGTAAAAGAGAATGGGTCAGTGCTTGAATCAATGAGTTCAGTGAGTCTTTGTTTGGCAGCCATCCTGAATTCACAGTTATTGAACTGTAGCGACTGATAGAGGCCCATGATGATGCTGATATTCTCTGCATTCATCCCAGGCATGTTTAGTAAAATCATTCGGTTACATTTCTCAAGCAAAGGCCGGTGACTGTGCTTGATGTTCCGTAGAAACTGAACTACTCTTCGTGGGTTATTATAATTTGACGGGTCTACGTTATCCAGTAAATGATCTATCCTTGTTATGAGAGCATCGCGGAGAGATGGAGACACCAAGGAGGACACACTAATCATGAAAACTGTCAAAATCCTGTGAGTCAGACAGAAAAAAGGTCAGATGAAAAGAATGCCTGTGTATTTAGACAAAACATCCAAGAACTGACCTTGCATCATTGATTGTTGACAGTTGTTGAGCCATGATGTTTGCGATTTGTCCCATAAGTGGACTGTGCTGTAGATGCTGATCACTGAGACAAATTGAAAATTTCGATAGAGTTGGCATTGAAAGTCTGAAAAAGTAAACATTTAAAAGGCAATATTAAATAATGAAACATGCTTGCATGCATGCCTCTTGCTTTGTTAAGAGAATTGTACCCACAGTAATTAAGCTGACTCACCACACTCTACTACAAAGATAAGTCATATGAAGTGCTAAATCATATTATGTCACAAAATGTTTGGTTTGTAAAAGTAACTGTCAAGAGGAGCTACATTACTTGTTGAGGCGCATCCATGCTTCTGACACCAGTTGTTGAATGAGTGAGTCATGTTGATCCACATTTAATCTACAAAGGACAAACAAACAAACAACCAAAAAAATGTATTAAAATTAAAATCCATTTTGCAGCTGACAGTTTAAATATTATGTTGGGTTATTTACCTAAGAAAGCTGTAGAGTGTGTCAATCAACATCAAATTGTCCATTTGAGCAATTTTGTTCTCTGCCAAAACTCGCAGAGTCAAAAATTGTGGGTGACTCTTGATGAGCTCAACAGTACGGAGTAACTGTGGTTTCTCTTTCTGAAACTTCCAGAGCATCCCCACAGCCAGACTAACATGATCAACATTAAGTTTTGCCTTATTCTTTCCCACAACATCAAAAACATGGTCTTCAACGCAGCAAGCACGCAGCTGCTCCAGAACCAGATCCCTGTGAACTGTCCCACTGTGGAGAAACCTTCTGAGGCACAAGCTCACACACTGCAGGCGGAACATCACTCAGGCACAGGACATGAGGCACTCTGAAGAATGAATTGGTCCAAACCTCTTTTTCCCATCTCAATATCCAACTGACAGGCACGATCAGTGGCAGGTTGTGAGTTGATGTGAGCCTTTGTATAAAAACAAAACAAGATTTAATTGCGGACTACATTTAACATCCAGACATTCTTCTGAGATACAATAAATGTTTTAAGTAAGATAGGGATAGAGATAAGAATAGCTCTACTCTTTGATAGTATTTAGAATGACACTCGGGTTACACAAGTCACACAATCATTGTTCTTTAAATAACGGTGAGCCACGGGAGACAGTAGCAGCCTCAGACATGCAAAGCGGGATTCACGTGTGCATACAAGAAAGTTGTGTATAAGCTTCTCAGTATAGTTTTAATGAGAAAATAAACCCTGACAAATGCTTAAATTAGAAGCACATTAATCAATTTAAAATATTTCGAATGAAAGTCAAATGTACCTAGCATGTGCGCTGATATTTCACTTCCGTAATCAAGTCAGGGGCATGCTTAAGTCCCGGATTGTTGCCTTCCAGGCAACATATAAAAATATAATTATATATGTAGAGTGAAAAGGGTTGCTTTGCCGCGAGCTACCTATTTTCTTTTTTATTTTAAAGACTATTAAAAGTATACTCACAAAGAAAACGTGGCAAATATGCAAACACTACTGTTTTGAGAAAGCTAAACCTTTCATAAAATGTCCAGGGAGGTAATAACTGGCACGTCCTGCGCAGTGCCCTTACGTCTCTGCCGCGCCATCTTCAGAAAACATTGAGCTGGTCACTGAATGAAACTTAATTTTAACCGCTTTAAATCGTTGCTTACTACATGGAGTGATATCCTCGGTTATTCAGGTGAAAACACATGCAAAAATCTTTGGAATTATTATGTACAACTACTCAATACATCTCAACACATTTGTGTGTTTAAAAGAAATGAGCTCCTGTTATATGCTATGTTAGCATAGTGTGCTAATGCTAACGTGGGCCTAGCGTCAAATTGTTGTGAAATTGAAATGCACGAATAAAACCTGTATTTAGTTTGGCCTGTATTTGCCTTATTGACTAGTATTTACCAAAACAACGTTCTAATAATACACTCACGTGCGATGTTAGCACGTTACCTTTCTATCCTTGATAGAAACTGTATGCATTATGTTTGTGTTTTCATGCTCTTACTTTGTCTTTATATTTACTGGCGCTGCATTGCTGGGTCAATTACTTAAAGATTGCATCTTCACAAGTGAGACAAAGAATGGGAGTGAAGGCACAGCGCCCTCGGTGCTTCATGGACATTGCCATTGGCAATGTTTTTGGTAAGATCCGGTCTATGATTATTGTGTTATCTGTATTGATTGTCTTTGAATCACACACTACTCTGCTCTTTATTTCAGTCGGGAGAATTGTGGTGGAATTGTTTTCAGATATTTGTCCCAAAACCTGTGAAAACTTCAGGTGTCTTTGCACTGGTAAGTTCTAGTACAGTTATGCACCAATCCAGTTTATTTCAAACTACTTGTATGTTATATTAATTTCTGCATTCATAGGTGAAAGGGGAATTGGTAAAGGAACCCAGAAACCCTTACACTACAAAGGATGTCTCTTCCATCGCATTGTTAAAGATTTTATGATTCAAGGAGGAGACTTTAGCGAAGGTGATTTGTAAAACGCGTTCGACACCATTAAATATCTAGAGCTCGTGTCCCTTTAGATACGACTCTTTACCTAATGCCAGTTTTTTGTGTTCTTTCATAGGAAATGGAAGAGGAGGTGAATCGATCTATGGAGGCTTTTTTGAAGGTAAAGGAAGCGGCTGCCAGACCTGTCACTTGTTTACCAAACCAGCGTTGGCTTCAAGACGGAAGTACAATCTTGTGCTTTTCCCCTAGATGAAAGCTTTGCTGTTAAACACAACAAGGAATACCTGCTGTCAATGGCCAACAGAGGCAAAGACACTAATGGATCACAGTTTTTCATGTAAGTTTTCCCTGCTTATCTCAATATTACGTTGTAGTAACTTAACATATTAGGTAATATTTGTCTGTCTTTTCCTTTTTTGACTCTATAGAACTACAAAACCCACACCTCACCTCGATGGGTAAGAAAATACATATGTAAAATCGAATTTTCACAAATAAAATGAAATACATGTTGGTTGATGTTATTTTTAGCGTCCATGTTGTTTTTGGCCATGTGATCTCTGGTCAAGAGGTTGTTCAAACTATGGAAAACCAGAAAACTGACCCTAACAGTAAACCCTATGCTGATGTGAAAGTATTGAACTGCGGAGAACTTGTCCCTAAATCTAAAGGTTTGTCAGTGTTGCACATGCATAATCACAGAAGGTCGTGTTACAAACTGAATAGTTTATTCATGTTTGCCCTCAGCCAAAAAAGAAAGTAAAAAGAAAAAGGAAGGCTCATCTGGATCCAGCAGCAGTAGTAGTAGTGAATCTGAGAGCTCATCTGAATCATCCTCTGATTCAGAAGATTCTGAAAAGGAGTCCAAGAAGAAAAAGAAAAAGACAAAGAAACAAAAGAAACACAAAAAGAAGCAAAAGAAAACAAAGTATGTATTTATTTTTTATGTTTTAAAAGACCCTCTATATAGTTCTTGGGACTTACCATGAGTAATAGCTGTTGTGATAGGGTTCCCACAGGCAGATTTCTTTTCACATGTATTCACTTGGGGCAGTCACCTCATGGTTTCATATCTACAGAGTGTTTAAAAATGTGTAAAACTGTGCCACATAAAAAATATATATATAAAAATTGTGATAATTGATGTCAATTGCTTTTGTAACAGGCCAGAAGACGCCAGTGCAGATGAGAAGGAGCAGGAGGAAGTGGTTTCTTCTACAGTGCGTCCGGAGGAGATTCCCCCCATCCCTGAAAATCGGTTCCTGATGAGAAGAAGCCCGCAGCAAGTGGAGAAGAAGGATGAGCCTAAAAAGGAGCAACGGAACAAGGGGGAAAGACCCAGGTATACCTTTTATGAAAACAGTTTATTTTCTTTTTTATGTTTTCAGCAGTAAGTTTATCAGGTTTTCTCCCATAGCGCTGGTATATCCTATAATTCGGCATACAACAGAAGGCTGGTTATGACCCGCTCCGGAAGAAAGATAAAAGGCAGGGGTCCTAGGGTAAGGGCAAATTTATATTAAGCTCTTCTTGCTTGAATTGATTAGTCTGTTTTGAAGGATAACAGAAGATTTATTAATGGTATGTGTCTGTCTTTCAGCGTTATCGAACCCCTTCACGCTCTCGTTCAAGGTCCAGAGATCGGTTCAGGCGCAGTGAAACTCCTCCACACTGGCGTCAGGAAATGCAACGTCAGAGGATGAGGGCTGTTACTGGGGAGCGTTGGATTAAAGGGGACAGGTAAAACTACCTAGATACTCGCTTAAATTTAATTTTACATTTTATCCCAATAAGACTTGATCTTGATTTAAATGTAAATATTGGTCACAATTTTATTTTACATATAATTATTTTGGGAAAAAATTGTAGCTTAGTCTGAAATTTTACAATTTGTAAATGAGAGTCCCCTTTCTTCCACAGAGGTGACGTCAATGACAGTAAGGAAGAGGTGTCAAAGAGAGAAAGACGATTGTCCAATTCAAAACATGAAGATACCACAGAGGGTAAAAAGGACAAGAAAGCGAGGAATCACAGATCTAAGAGCAAAGAGGATGATTCTGTGGATAAAGATGGAAAACATGGCAAACACAAGACCCACAAGAAGAAAGGCGAAAGTCGTAGTAAAAGCCGTGAGAAAAAAAGGTCAAAGAGCAGAGAGAAGGGACATAAATCTCACAAATCTGACGAGAAAAGGGCACGGTCCAAAAGCAAAGACAAAGAGGACTCAAAGAAAGATAAACACTCAGAATCTGACCATGGAAAAGATAAAAGCAAACATGAATCTAGTAAAAAGCATAAAGAGGATTTTAAAGGAACAAATGGGGAAAGAAATAGGTCCAAATCACGTAGCAAGGACAAAAAAGATGGCCACAGATCTAGCAGCAGTAATAGAAATAAGGACAGTCGTGCCAAATCCAGAGACAAAGACGACAGGCGGGATAAGGAGAGAGACAGAGGCAGGAATCGCAGCCGAAGTCGAGACCGTCGCCGTGATAGTGAAAGGGAAACTAAGAGGAGAGAGTCATCCAGAAGCAGAGATCATCGAGGGAGAAGCTCAGACAGGACTAAGACCAGAGACGCCCACAGGAGCAGGCACTCGCGAAGCAAGAGTAACAAAAGAGAGACCAGTAAAGACCGCTCTACGCATAGGAAGGATAAAGAACGAGAATCTGGCAACCGCAAAAGAAGACATAGCAGCAGTTCTGATAGCGATAGGGATAAAAGAAGGAGCCGAAACAGTCGTGATAGAAAATCCAAAGAAAAAAGGAGTCCAGAAAGACAAAGGCCAGACAGTAATAAAGGCAAAGATCGAAATAACAGTAGAAGACATAGACATAGTTCTAGCTCAAGTTCCGACAGTGACTGAGAGGGACTCATTTAAAAACAAAATTACTTTTTTATACTGGCATTTCCCTTCTTCACTACACCGTTAACGAGGTCAGGTTGCAGCTCTATTTTGACCAGACATGTACTTTTTGGTTTAAAGTAGACATCTTGATGAAACGTGGTTAAGGTCATTCATATTGACCAAAACAAAAGAATGAACTCTCATAATGACAGTCAAGCGTGTGTTTTTTCAAGGGTTTAACATGCCCTTAAATGTACTGCTTTCATTGTCTTAGGATTTAATTTGACGGTTTTCAGTTTTTATTTGGGGTACATTGAATTTTGGGTATAAACAAAAACCCAACAGTTGAGCTTTTTAAATTATTTCTACTGTGTGCTTTTATCATTTAAATCCTGTTGGATTTGGAGGGAGGGGGTGCCTGTATTTTTGTCATATGTCATATAACAGAAATATTTTGATGCATGGTCGGTGTATTTTTTTTTATGATTTGGTAACATGTCACCCCTCCACTTTTGTACATCCATGGCCTTTTACTGTAATCCCATTTGTAATTAAGACAATTCTGGGTTTACTTGTGGAATTATTTGACAATTTGTACAAGTAGTTTTGTTCAAGAATATTGGACATTGCCTTTCTGGCTCTAAAGAAGGAATTTAAAAAAATGACATTCTCTGCTTTTAAACAACTGACGCCTTGGTTCTTACCATTTATTCTCACAGATGCCCGTTCTCACCACACAAACCTTGTATTAATCATTTAAAAAGGTCTTTGAGAAAAAACTGCAAATTGTGAGGAAGCTTCATATGTGCTATTATCTTTTTTTAAAGGCCCCCACCTAAATGTACAGTCTTAATATCACCGCCTCCTGGAGTTCTCTGAGGGCAAACTGAATCTTTGACTAGAAATGAGAAGAAAATCCAGTCTAACCAGATCACCAAGAATTTTCTTTAAACTGCATTTCGAGATTTCTGCTTGTTATTTCTGTGATTTCTGCAAAATTGACTCTTGTGAGCTTTTAGTCATGTTATAATGCCTCATCAAAAATATAGTGTTTTGTTTCATTCACACATGTTTGAGTAACCCTTTATTAAGTCTGTCTTCATCTCCAAAGATCAAAATGCTCTGTTCACCTTGTGATGTCAAGAAGCGGTAGTTTTGAAGTTAACGGCTCCTTTTACCTGTAGTTCAGTAGAGACTGGTTATTACAGGGCTGAAATCATCCAAATCTAGTGAAGGTTTATGGAGTATAAAAACACAGTGGAGCATTTTCTGTATTACCACATGACATCATAAGGTGGAACAGAGTGTTTTCTGTTTGAGAGAAGAACTCAGCCTAAATATGCAGGTTTGTGTGTTGAACATGGATGAAATTAATACACAAATGTACGCATGTTTTTGATGAGGAACCAACATTATAACAGATTTTAAAAAAAATTGCATGGTACGAGCTCTTTAATGACTGCACACTTTTATTGCCAACACATTTTATTGATCACCAAGTAAACCCAAGTCTCTTTTTTGTCTGCTCAACATCATTCAGTGATTTAATACTCTGAGTGATACCGGAGACATAGTTGGGCATTTGTGCACCACTGCTGTCTTGAACCACATAGCTGGGTCTAACTCCATTAAAAGCAGGTCCAGATCCTCCTCCTATCCCCTCCCTTGCTGCTTTATAAAGTGGCACCACATTAAGTTTAGCCTCCTCCGCTGTATTGATAACATCCTTTGCATACAACTGAAATTTGATGTCTTCCTCTGCCCGTATTTGAGCATTCATAGCTTCAAACCTCTCTGTGTCTTGCATGTGCTGCTGTTGCTTTGAGTGTTTTTCAGCCTGTGTTAAAAGTATAACGACAATTCAGTATAAATATGACACATCGATATAATCTGAATCAAAAACGATACATATATAAACATACCATTTGTGTTCTGTGAAAATCTTGTAAACTTTGCAGATCCTCTTTCCTCTTCTGAGCCTTGAGCTGCTGTCGCTCTGCGTATATTTTGTCCGCCTCCTTTTTAGACTGAAGCATTTCTTCGTTTTTTCTGTTTCATCTCCTCTTTCATCCTCTCTTTTTCTTGCCTCTAACAAACAAATTAAAAGTGCATTATGTAACGTTACTGGTGGCGAGCCCGTCAAATGCTTTTCTCCATGGAAATGTTATTAGTTTCTCTGGAATGTTTCACAGTATGACATTAAACCTTTTTATCTTCATGTAGACCAAACCAGACCAAGTTACAGGTCAGATCTGTGGAGAGGCAACCCTGCTCACAGTCAGAATGCCTGTTTTTCTAGGTATTTTTTGAGCAATAAAACCACCTGTAATTGAATAAATATAAAGTAGAGCTGTTTAATGTCATACTGTGGAACATTCCAGGCAGAGCAGTGACATATCCATAGAAACAAGCAGGAGACGGACCCCCAACCAAAAAGTTACACTGTGCTTTAAGCCACAGGTGTAAGTAGCAGGTAAATGTTTTTGACTTTTTACCAGCGCTTCTCTGTGCTCCGCTATGGACTCCATCATGGCCACTTTCCTCTCATCTTCCTCCAGCTTCAGTTGTGCTTCTCGAGCCTCCCTTTCAGCTACAGCTCGCGCAATTTTCAGCTCTTCGTTTTCAGCTTTCTCTTGCTGGGTGGCTACGAGTTTTTCCAAGATCTTATCTCGTTTTAACTGGGTCTCTCTGAAACAGTTGATTTTAAAAATGTTAACATACTATTTACAGGTTGCTGAAAATCATTCTTTTTTTTTATCTTGACAGGACAATAAAACAAAAGAGAGTAATAAAGTAAGCTAGAAAGCCAGAATATTATTTCACTCAAGCTCTTGTAGGTAAGTTCTATTATCTTCTCTCCAGTAACGGTAAATAATGCTGTATTCATATGCATACTTAACAATAAAGAAGTGGTCTAAGATACAAATGCAAAGAAGCATTTTTTAGACCTAAGTAACTGAGACTTTAGTTCATCTTTAATAGTATCTTTGTGTTTAAAATGTCAGTATTGAACGGTGGCTTCAAAATTGATCTTACCTTATTATTTCCTTCTCTTTGTCTCTAATTAACTTGGTCATTTTTTCTTTTGCTGAGAGGTACAGCTTCCTTTGTTCCTCCTCCATTTGCTGTTTTTGGTCGTTCATAACTTTCTCCAGCTGTCTGTTGGTCAGCTGTTCCTGTAAAGAAATGTGTAAGCTGCTTTTTTCCTAGGTAACAGTTAAAGGGGGATGATAAAATTGGCCATGACACTACCTGGTGGACCTGCATGAGCTGCATCCTCTCCTCTATTTGTTGTTCTTCTGCTCTCTTCTGTTCCCAAAGATGGAGCTTCATGAAGTTGTTGTATTTTGTCCCCTTCCTGTTTCTTTAGTTGCTTCTTCTCTTCTCTCTCCAACTCTTTTTTTCTCATTCTGAAAAGGGCACCATGAACATACAGTGGTGGAAGAAGTACTCAATTTTGTAACTTAAGTAAAAGTGCAGCTACTGGAGCAAAGTATACAGTAAAAAAATCTACTTAAAGGTGCATTGTGTGGTAGATTGCTTTGCCTGGAGTCTTTCATACTATGGTATTAAACCTTTCTCTCTTCATGAAACCCAAACCAGACCAAGTTATAGGTCAGATCTGTGGAGAGGCAACCCCACTTACAGTCAGAATGCCTGTTTTTCTAGCTATTTTTGAGCAATAAAACCACCTGTAATTGAATGAATATAAGGCAGCGCTGTTTAATGTCATACTGTGGAACATTCTAAGCAGAGCAATGACATATCCATAGAAACAAGCAGGTGAAGGACTCCCAACCAAAAAGTTACACAGTGCATATTTAAGTAAATATATTAAAGTACTTGTTTAAAAAATATACTCAAAGTATTTTTCAAATGTAATGATTTTGATAAAGATTTGTGCTTAATTTTGTTCAACCGAAACAAATGAATTCATATTTTTCCTGGCTGTTGTTATTTGTATATTTTGTACAAAGTACAAATGTTTTAAAAAATAAACTTTTCAGCCTTTTCAGCAGGTCTCAATCTATAATAAAAAATACTTTTACTTTTCAGTCCAGTTAAAAGTACAGATACCTGCTCTCAAATGTAGTAAAGTAAAAATAAAAAATATCCACTTTAACATGTACATAATTAAAGTACAGTTACCTAAAATGTATACTTAAGTGTAGTACTTTACTACTTTAACTTCATTACGTTACACCACGGAACATAAATGAATCTTCCCCAATTTAAACATCCTGTGTGTGGAGTGAGGCACCTACTGATTCTTGAGTTCCTCTACAACAGTCAGAGTCTGCTCTTTCTTTTGACGTGCTTTCTCCTCTTCTCGTCTCTGAGCTTCGTCAGCCCTGGCCCTGGCTGCTTCCAACATGGTTTTGTCCACATCTTTTCTGGCATTCTTGATCTGTTGTTTTAATTGAATCTGTGCTTCTCTTTCTTTAAGCACATGTGAAAGCAAGTATGCACCCTACAAGAGAGAGAGTATAAGTGACAATATGACAAACCAATATTACACATTAAAAATATATAGTGAAAATGTCCACACATGTAGGACTTTGACTCGGTTTGTTTGGTAAAATAGCTGAGTCTTGGCTTTTTCTACAGCCTCCTTTCTCTTCTGCTCCTTGTAGTTGGTTTCTTCTATGTCAAGTTCCTTTCTTTTCTCCTCCTCAATCTGCTGCCGAATTGCCTTTGCCTCCAGTTTCTTCTGCCTTTGCTCCTTTAGTAAACATAAAATGACAGCACCATTTAAATTAAGATTAAATGATCTGATATAAACTGTGTTTGAAATACTCACTGATATAGTGTTGGACCAAAGCTTGACCATCTCTTTTGAGTGAAGAAGCATGGCTTTTCTCTTTGCCTCTTGTATTCTGCGCTCTTGTTCTCTGTCAACATTTTTTGACAGAGTTTGTATCCTCATGAATTCAGATTTGGGTAAGACTGTGACTTGACGTAGATCTGGTAATGGGATCATTGTGCTGTCTCTGTCATCTGAAGACACTGGTGAAAAAAATAAAATGGCTTTTGGACATGGCATGTGGACAGATAAGAGAGTACTAATTTAATTTAATGTTAATTCGATGTGTTAAGTTGTGCATGTGCAGAGAAAGTGTCTTCTGTATTTTAACAAAAACACTTTCTTTCACATCATTTGACAGTAGAAATAAGTTTTTTTCTGAACATGTAATAGTCCAACCATAATTGAGTCGCCGACAGCTAACGTTAGCTAACAGACTACTTATTATCAGGAGCAAGCGACGTTACTTTATTAAACTTTCTCGGGCATCCACATTTTCTTCAACTATTGCAGTGGATCGCATTTTAATGTTAAGATATAAATCAAATAGAACCAAATTCTGTTTAAGGTTATGTTAACAAACATTACCTTTTGTATCAGATCTTTTTCGACCCTCACATTCCCGCATCATTGTGTGAAGAAAAACATATAACAAGAAGAAAAGAGACAATAAATATTGTAAGTGAAACTCTAGTTGCCCACAACACTGAATAAAGACCGCATTTGTTGTGTGGTAACTTAGCAACCGATTCTGAGTAACTAGGGACACTAGAGAGCACGTTGCCATGGTAATTTACAGTGACATCCATCCTGTTCAAGCAGCCATGTTCTGACTGTATGGTCCACAGTATACAGTAGAAAGGTGCAGGATTGCAACTTCTTAAATAAATTGATAAATAACTTTAAATGAATAATGTTCGTTAGAATTACTAAAGTGATAGCATGTAACTTTCTGGGGGTGGAAAGTCACAAATATGACTTCATGAAAATAGAAAATCATACTTAAAAACTATACTTTCAACATTCTCTGTGGAGATATGTTTTATGGCATACTGCAGTATGTAATATTATAGCCAAAGGAACAACACAGTTGTGCTCATAAGTTTATTTGTGTCAACTTGTGTACATGTTATCAAGCCAAAATCTCAAGGATATGTAAACTTTTGATCAGGGTCATTGATGTAGTTCCTGCTGTGATATGATTATGATTTAAAATGAGTAAACACAGTTATTTGATAATAAATGGCTTCACCCAAGCACTAACCATGAGTGAAAGAAAAGTTTTTGTGTTATCCTTCATATTTTCTGAAAAATGACTAAGAAATGATAAATTCTGCCAGGGTATGTAAACCTATGTGCACAACTGCATTTCCTTGAAAACAAGCAGGAGGAGGCTCTCCTCCAGACCAAATAAGAGTCAGGTTTGTGGAGATTTAAGCCAGCTCAGAGCAAGGATGCACGTTTTCTGCTTTTCAGTTCAATAAAGGCATGCTTTTATTTCCGTCTACTTTTTGGAAAAAAAAAAAAAGTTATATACTGTGGTGAAGACTTTTTTGGAGTTTCAAAGAATTACTATGCATTTAAACTAATTAAAAAATTCTATCCAGTCCAGGGTCTGCATTGTTTCACAGGAGGGAGGTGGGACCACGTCTTGTATGAAACAAGTCAATGGCCCATAATTTCTTCACTGTGTATTTATACACATACCTGATACAGCTTGCATAACCTATATATTACTGACCCGAATCAGTTTTAACCAAGTCTACATGTATTTTATATTCCGCTCAACACAACATCTATTAATTCTACATTATTCCAAAGCCTTCTCTAAAGTAGAGAATCAGGGTGTTTTTGCAAGAAAAGTCTTTATGACATTTATGTTTTGATGAAAAGCACCTTGCCCAGGGTTAAAGTCAAACCCAATCAAGTCAAAAAATCAATTTTATCAAGCCATGGGTTAGCCAAATCATGGGTTAGTCAAGTCTGGCTTAAGTCCAACTGTGTGGACTTTAAACTCCACACATTGTAAGTATAACCTTTCCATGGTTCAGATAAATAATATAAAATAAATAAAAATAAAAAAAAATAAAAAATAAAAAAAAAATGTTTAATTAAATGTTAAGAAGTTTGCTGCTAAACATGAAACACTTTAAGACTTAAAATCCTACTAGTGTAGCAATGCTTGAATTACTTAATACTACAGCACAGTAACAGCATGGTAACTAAAAGTGTTACTACAGTTACTTCATTTGGTCTTCCAGGATTATTCTTAAATAAATGTTCTTTTACACAGACCATTGTAATGTTTTTTTCATATGTCATACTACTGACATGTTTCAGATGCCTTCTGCATCCGTCAAAGGGTCATGTGGTGTTATAGTGTTGACTGATTTACCAGTGCAGGCCTGGTGCCAACATTTGTGTAAATCAGCTGGCAAATCACGTCACTGTAACATCACGTGAGCCTTCAGATGAAGGATGCAGAAGGCATCCAATGTCAGTATGAAGTATGAAAAACTCATCACACAGGTCTGTTTTAGAGAACATTTATGACGTATGAAAAGCACACCACACTGTTGTGTTTTAAAGAACATTTAGGCCTACAGTTATTGTAGTTACAACAATTACATACAGGACGCACACACCTGTCATTCCACCTAGGATTAATTTCTCATAAATCTCTTTATCCCCAGTTATGATTGGTATTTCTCTCATACCACATTACTACTAAAGTAAAGTACAAACTAATATTTCTGTTATTAGATTATTTCTAATAATAACTGGTTTAATGGTTTATTAGAAAATGCAGTAGCCCATGTTTTGACAAAGTTAAGGTTGAAGTGACAATTTACTTTTATTTTTAATTATTATAACACATGCATAAAACATAATGCATTTGTAATGTATATATAAGTATATATAAAGGGAACTGTTTTTTGGTGCTGAATTTATCCGTTTATTGTTTTCTTTTTTTATAATCAAAATATGCATTAAATATGACACTTCTTTGTGAAAGGGGGTAGACTCGAATAAACTTTGCTTCTGCCTACTCCTTTTGAGCATTGCATTTTCTGCTCAATGTATTTAAAAAAAAGTGTAGCAGCTTGCTCAAATAAAATAAATGAAATGAAAATAATGTGGTTGGAACTAATTACTTGTTGCAGGTTTTGCACCACTGGGCACTGATTCCTTCCTTTTTAGTTTTTATCACTGCAGATCTTGGGTAATGCTCCTCTCAACCTGTGGTCTGTGGTTGTTAGAATCATGCCTCTTTTCCACTTGCATACAACTTGGCAACATTTCATCCATCAACAGGTGTCATGATGTAATCTGTTTTGATGTGCACCTGCTAGAAGTATAACCGGCATTTTGACAATTTTGCAAAAGGCAAAACTGCGAGCCCCTGCAACATGTCCTACTCGTCTGCATGAATATACGCAGAGAAACAATGAACCTTGTTTAGTTCTTGCTGATAACCTAACATGCAGAGAGCCTGTGTGTGCCCTGCTCGCCTGCCCGGGTGCCCGTCTCCTCGCGCACCCCGTTGGTTTCTATTGAGTCTATTTTTAGCTCGCGCAGACTGGTCACGTGGGGTGGAAGGACGTCAATAATGTTGTTGTTGGTGGTGGGTGCGAGGGAGGGAGAGGGAGGCACACTGTAAATATGGAGGCGGCCAAACGGTAGGAGGTGAGACGGCGATCGACTTTTCTCCCCGACTAAATTCCACGCGTTTTCATTCGGGACATTTATGGCGGATTTGGAAAAGGGACTGGGCGCACCGACGCTTTGACCGAGCAGACTCCGCGGAGAAAGCGACCTCCGCACGCGTACGCTTTCGGGGAAGAGCCGCTGACATCCACGGTAAGGGTGACTTCACGAGACGGGAGGAATGAGTATGTGAGATTACCCCGTAGAAAGCAAATAATGTCCAATAAGCTTTAGTAAATCTGTTAAATGTTTATAATAGTCAATCGGTGTTGAATTATATTTGCTAAGTTGCTGCACGCTAGCACATTCAGCTAACTTGGGAATAGTTCTCCGCTGCTATTGCTAACCAAAGTATACCTGGCAGGAATGAATGCTAACAGTGAAACTTGTGATTTTGAACAGGAATGAATCTTCTAAACCAAAGACCAGTTTATTCCCCCTGCATATCGGAGGACAGTGTTATTAGATTGCTTATAATCGAGGAACAACAAGCAAGTGACAGCTCAAAGTTGACTACTAGCCACTAAACTACCAGCACCATCAGCAGCTGCAGCCAGGAGCTAACGAGGAGGNGAAACCGCTTTCAATAACTTTTTTACGCAAATCCAGCAACCTTTTTTTTTCAATGTACTAAAGAAACACTACATGACATCACAAGGTGGAGCAGAGCATTTTGAGCTTTAAACATGTAGACAGACTAATACTACAGGATTACTCAAACATGTGTGAATGAAACAAAACATAATTCCAGGTTTTTGATGAGGAAACAACCTTATAGCATGGATTAAAGTGTGAATTCAGCCCTCTTCAGCCCTGATATACATTTATTTTGGTTCACTAAGGAAAAAAGTCTAGTCACTTCTGCTCCATGTGAAAAGCTACATGAGTCACTCGGTCTGAACTTTAAAGGTAAATGGTCACATTTTTCTATAGCGCTTTTCCACCTTCAAGGCACTCAAAGCGCTTTACAACAAGGAACCACTCACCCATTCACACACACATTCATACACCAGTGTACACAGACACTGGGAGCGAGGTGGGTTAAGTGTCTTGCCCAAGGACACAACAACAGCATTGATCTGTGGAAGCTGGAATCACTCAAGTCACCCTGTGGGTTAGTGGATCTGACCGCTGAACCCATGATGTTTGTTATGTTGATATTGGATTCGAATCGCCAACCTTCAGATCAGTGGACTTTACCGACAGAGCTACTGCCACACCCCAAAACTTTCCTATATATGAATATTTACTGAAGGTCTCATCTTCTTCTCTTCATGGAAATACATCAGTTTAATGCCATACTGTGGAACTTTCCAGGTGAAGCAACAATACTGTATCTTTCACAAGCAGGTGAAGGATTTTCCATTAGAAAATTTACATAATAGCCTTTATAAAAATAAAGTAAAATAAAATTATTAAAAAAACAAAACTCTACAATAGCTATTGTCTGCACGTCTGATGCGTTCACTTTGTGGAATGTATTAGAAAAACCTGC